TAGAAAATTTGATATAAATTGAACTTAAAAATATAACAATCCAACTAAATACTCAATTTTATATCGCTAAATCAATTTACAGAGACCGAAAGAGTTAATTACATATATTTTAAAAAACTTATCTAGGAGTGAAAAATATAATAATATTATAATTGTTAATATATTTTTTAATAAATAAATAATATTATTATTTTAAATTAAAGCAACATACAAAATAAATTTTAATTATTAATATATTGTAAAGATTTTTTTTTTTGCATTTCTATGCATATTTAATAGTATTTTTATTTATATATACATAAATATCAAATGAAACATGACCCCATGCAGTACATGTCCAAACTAATAATGTCATTGAGAGGAGTGAGACATATACCTATCTCTCCAAACATAATGGAGTTGAACTTCCTATATAATGTTCCTTAAGTCTTCAACTCTTGTTATCCTTTTTTCGTGGAGACAAATCTTGGGACTACACAGAATATTTGAAAACTAAATTTCCTTGTAAATAATCGTCACGTATGATGATCAATTGCTCGGCCACCTGCACAATAAAAAGTTATACAAGGAAAAACAACACAAAAAAGATTAAATAAGCATATATAGTGCAAACTAATTTTCGAATTATATATCATTTGGACCTTTACTTATTACGATATGCAATGCCTCAAAATGATTCTCACTTGCATCGGAAAACTCTGCATAATCGCACTATAAGGATTCTAAAACATTCAAACTAATCGTCATGTAACCTGTCGTGGATAGTTGATCTAACGGTTACAAACCCCGACAAAATGGTTTCGTAACGGGACCGTAGAATCTCCCTCAAGCCAGAATAGACTAGGAGATGCATGTAATATAATAGTAATATATATATATATATAACACCTCATTACCTCCTCAATACTGCCATCCTCAATCTCTGTGTTGAAAGCAAGCAACAATCTTTCATGCAACAAAGTCTCCAAATCCTCTGTTTCAAGTTGTGCTGCTGAAATAGAGTCATGATATGCGAAAACTATCATAACATAAAATTTAACTTTGATTTTCTCATATAAAATAAGACTAGTACTAATACTCATGTACAACATGGGTATTGAGTTAATGAATATATGTGTAAAGTTATTTATATCTAATACCAAACCTAAACCCCAGAGTAAAAATAATATAAAAAACAACATCACGAAGCATAGATTTTCGCCATGTCAGCATCCGAAACGTGAGAATCTGCCACCTAGGCTCAACACGTTTTGATTTAATATGTAGGGAGGGATATCTCGAAAAATGAAACAAACAATTTAATTACCTTTAGAATGTAAGAGCCAAACGAGTATATCAGAGGCAAGTTGATTGGATTTGGTAATGGAGTCATGGCCACCCCATTCATTATGGACAGCCATTTGAAGGGCAGTCCATTTACACAGCACATTTGAAATTCTTTCTTGGACGACAGATATATTGCTACTATATTCCATAGTAATTATTATTCACCTATTTTATTAATTCTCTCTCTCATGTCCCTCTCTCTCTCTCTCTCTCTCTAGATTCAAGAGAAAAAAGTTAAAGAAGAGAGAGATTAGTGTAATATCAAGAAGGTTTGGGTGTGGAATATTATATGAGGAATCATGATTTGAAGCAACAATGGAAGGGAATGGAGCGGAAAGATGGGATCTAGAAGAGAAAAACTTGGGATGATAAAGGGTTGAAATGACTTGTACAAATATAAGTTTGGAAGAGACTACAATCTCGTTGCAGAATTGTTCCGTGAGAGATTTTAGCCTTTAGATATACATGTGAGTTAGTTATTTTAGATAATCCATGGCTAAAATCCTTTACGGAACCATTCCGTGATGGGACTGAAACGGGAATGATTCGACTTCATATATTTTTTTTTTTCAAATTAATAGAAGAACTTACGATTAAAACGGGAATGAAAGTCAAATCCAAGATACAAACTTAATCCGAAAACAAGCATGAAATGGAAATGAAAACCAAGAATTTCATATTAGTTCAGCACAACATTGGAACAAAATAAACATAACTTATTCGTTAGACTGAAGTTCCCAAAAGTTTTTGGAAAAACGACGACATTCATTTAGTTCAACCCAACATTGGAACAAAATAATGTTATCGTGATCAACTCTTTCCAAACCCGGATGCCACACGAATACACGATAAACCTATTTCCAGGTCAATTGAAATTAAATTATCATTTAAACTACATAGAGAAACCTTTCGATTTGTTCAAAATAGAGTCATTTGCAATCACATCAAATATCATACCATAAGGCAATAAAACTTCACCATTCTAAACACCAATATATTGCCACACATTAAACAGACAGTACAAAAGGAGGAAAAACAAAACAAAAGAGAACAGACTTCTTAGCTACTATGAATTAGCCCCAGCAGGACCAACAAGAACTCCCTGTGCATTTCCTTCCTTCTTACCACTTCCGTCCATCTCACCATCACCCTTTCGGATTCTGATTTTGTACTTGGCCTCGAATTCGGAAACTTCAGTTTTCTTCCTCTCCAAAGCCTCAGTAAGCCGAGCGATCACCTCCTCCAGGCCCTCTTTATTCCTGAGGACAGCTGGCAAAACTTCTTTTATAGTTCTCTCAACAAGTACACCCCCAATCATGCGGTAGCACTTTCTGGATGGGTCAAGCGGCTGAATGGCATTGATCACCAGTGAATGCTCGCTAACCTCCATTTCTAGTTCAGTGATTTTGGAGTATATTTGGTTAATTTCAGTTCTCATGGAAGCATATATGTTGGCAACGGCTTGCTCATTAAGTGGTTCCTTGCTGTCACCTTCGACTCTGGCCATGATGTTGAATCTGAAGATAAAAGAAAGAATCATACACTCGATTATGATCCCAAGCCTTCCCATAATAACATTATACGTCAAAACCCAAAAAAGAAAAAGAAAAAGAAGGCTTGATATGAATGATAATGCATTTGCAAGAAAGACGATCAACCCATATTTCTCCTGCTGAAGAAAATGGAAGCTAATACGAATTTCAAGAGCATGGGAAATTTTTCTTTTATGCTTCATTTGAACAAAATACACGCATAAAAAATATGCACGTCATCTAAACCCGGCCAATTACCAAGAACATTAACCAGAGAATAATAGAACACAAAAAAATGTGAAGATTTTCGACTAGCCACTTCTCCTCTCTCAAGTATTCATGAATCATTCGTGAAGGAAATCTCAGCTCAACGCTGTAATACTTTTTCAAGGTCACTGTTGCTGCATGGCAACAACAGCAACTACAAGGCAAAACTTCTAGGTTTCAAAGATTTCAAATAATATGCACCAAAAATATGACGGTCATGTTTTGAATGTTAAACAACCAATAAGTGAAAATTCGAATCTCATATAGGCCCACTAAAACCGACCATCATTCCTAAGAAAAAGGAAAATTAAGAGAGAACAATATGACCCAGCTTGAGCATGAATAACAAAACAACAGGCAATAGCCAAGGACAACATCAAATTCCAATGTCTGTCACTAGATGGACTTGCATCTAATGATGAGAGACGAAAAAAGAGGAACTCTGATTCCACAAACACCACACACCCCTGTTCAACTCCTTTAAGCAATTTTGAGACTAAGTTACCTTAATTTTGACCCAGAACAGATAGGTTTCTTCAAACCAGGAAAAAAAACAAAAAAAAAAAAAAAA